TATCGAAATTAATAAACACAAATTATTTTTTATTTTAAGTAACTTTTATTTGGGAAATATTTTATCACTACCATAATCAAATTTAGCATAAATCTTATAAACTTCTGAGAAATAAACAATTTAAAAAAACACTAAAAAAGTACGATTTAGGAACATTCGTCTTAAATCGTACCGATATATTCTTAAATCGTACTTTGAGATCCTATCATTGGTTTGCAGTCTTAAGAATAAAAATCTTTATCAATAATGTATTAATACGTGTGTATATTAACTCTTAGCAAATTCGGCAGCTGGTCTTCGCCAATTTTTGGCAGTCATCGCAGTTGTAATCCATTGTCTCTTTATTGGTTCCTGCGCGAAGTTCATGTACCCATATCTCACATTGTGTGCATTTGATCATACTTTCTTTTACATCTTCTTGGCATAATTTACAGTACCAACTGTTATTTTCATCTTCCTGTTTTTTTTTAAATTCTGTTTTTGTGATATTTTAGTAGTTTTGCTTTTCTTCGCACCAAGATTCTTTCATACGTTTTTCTTCTTGCAATTCCAAGAATACCACGTAGTGGAGATATTATTTCAAATGTCGCTCGAACTGTCTCTGTATTAGAAATTTTTACTTTCATACCTAAAGAACATTCCTTTGCTTTCTCTTCCAGACACTGATCTTTCTGTTTTTCCGAAGGGTGAGTTGTCGGTACTTCAGGAAGTTGTGGGTACTCAACTTCTTCAGTCTGTTCTCAGTAGTCTGATTGGATTGTGCTACACACGTTAAAGTATCTGTTTTTTCTTGCTGCCTTTCAGTTGCCAGATTCTGGGAGACTTCCGCCGTTTCACTTAGATTAGCATCTTCGTCAAGAATGACATATTCCTTATCCCCGATCTTAAAGCGATTGTGAGGCCACAATCCGCAAGATTCGAAGTCATGCATGCCCGTGTCCATACAAACAGCTCGAAGATATGCTTTATTAAGGAACCAGAATGGTTTGCATTCACGATGCGCAAGCAGCACTAAAATTCAGTTTTAGTGATTTAAAAAATGACCTATCTAGTCTATTCATTGATGTATATTCAGTCCTTGTAACTATCGTCTAAATGTCAATTACGGTACATTATATACACTACAAACTTTGTTAAATTATAAGGTCTCGTCATTATATTTTTTAATCACTTCTTTCATATTTTCTTTACTTCAAGAATTATATTTTCTTTTTGACACGTTGTTCTAAAATTAAAGACGATTAAGTTTTAATTTGTTTTGAACTTTTGCGGTTATTTTTTAAATCAGAAACTTAGAAAAAAAATAAGTTTACGAATCGGTAATAGCTTATTGTGACATGCATCTAAAATGGTTTTCCTAAATCGTACCAGTACGTTTTAAGAACATGCTTCGAGTACGAAATAGGCGCAAGAGTCGAACAAACTTTACATTAGTCGCAAAAAAATTTGACAACAGATATGCATGTTTCATCACTTCAGATGAAATCACAAAAATACGCACTAATACATCACAGATAGTTAAAAAACTTACATACGATCCAATTTGAANTTCATCAGAGTTTTATATCTTATAAACTCATCAATATAGTTTAAAATTTTACCACTTTTATAAATTGATGTTAAACTTGTAGACTTTTGATAATTTACTTTTATCTAGAGCTAGGTCTAAGTCAAACTTTTTGTCAAAGGAAAACTTTTAAATAAAAATACTTACTATCTGCAGATGATGATCTTGTATCTTCTTGGCGAGGTATCAAACAATTCTCGTATAAGCAGTATTTGACTCAAAAACAGAGGAAAAAGATATAACTTTCGTTTTTTAAAGTTGATAATTTGAAATAATCTTTTTCCTCTGTTTTTTGAATCAAGAGATGGTATAAATACTACGTATAAGAGACTGGTTCGATTTTGAAGCATTTCGAGTTATCGACAGTTGACCATAAAAACATTACACAGTCCTATAGAAGCTGTAATAGACATTTATATAGATTTTGTTAAAAAGTATCAAGTATATTTTATAGGAAAAAAGTTCACAGATTAAATTTTGAAGCATTTCAAGTTATCGACAGTTGACCATAAAAACATTACACAGTCCTATAGAAGCTGTAATAGACATTTATATAGATTCNAAAATTTATAAAAAACAATTTTAAAAAATAAATTAATTTTGTGATTAGTACGTGTCATATGTATACTACTAACATGCATTACATTTCTTGTCCGAAAATGTGTTAGAAATAGAATTTAACATTTATGCAACATAAAAGACTTGATGACGACAATATTGGCAACTTTGTAACAATGCAAACAGCAGTTTGGAATGTTATCCATTACTAATCAAATCCAAACTTTAAAGAATTTATAAATTTTGAGTACTATAAGGAGTCAAATTTCAATGCTGGACATAGTGGAGTACCCAAGATCTGAAGTAGAGAGGGGTAACTCATAGTTGTTTTGAGTGCAAATATAGCAACGAACAGCGAAATAGTTTTAAGTTAATCGCGACAGATGGTCCTAAGGTCTAGTTTAGTCACATATTCACTATTCAAACTGATACTCAATTAATATGTTTGCGCTGTGTATCAATTACTACACTTTAATTTTATTTTTAGAGGGGGTAGCTGCTCATTCCTACCCCTCAATATACAGTTTCTGCTTGTTATAATTTCTTCTTTTATTTTTATAATAGATATGAATATTTCTGAAAATAAAGACAATAGTCAGGAGCCGAAAATGAATATTCCGTCTATGTCCTTTTTACCACTCTTCTGGAGCATTGTATTTTGTCAACGTAACAAGCAATACCACAATTTACACATCAACATATGTATGTCATTAATACTTTGTTGGGTATCTTACTGTTTATAAACGCATAAATATTTTTCGAATCTTTCCAGTAGCTTTAAATGCATTTACTGGACACTCTGTGGTATTTCCAAACGAGAAAGTTTCCTGTACGAACATATTTGGATATAAATTAATTTTTTTCTTACATCCAGAATCTGCAAAGGTAATATAACATGCCTAGTTATGTCATATATTCATTACAAATGGAAATACACAGCATTATGTTTTCTAGGAAGTGTTAAGAAGCAACAGTTTAATCAATAAGGATTCTTTTTACAATTTTTTTAAGCCACTTCTCGGAGACAACAGTCTTCTGTACAGGTAATACATTATTTGAAATTTGGTATAAATATCGTTGTTTACAGTTTTCTGAATTTAATTAAATAAAGTCCTGACGATAACTGGAGAAAAAGAAGAAAATATTTAGCTCCACATTTTCATCTTCGAAATGTGAAAGATGATCAAAATGTATTTATGGAGCATTCAAACGTCTTAGTGGAAAAACTCAAACAATTGCAGGAAAATGAAATATTCGATGTCCTAAAATGGATGAAAAATTGCACTCTCGATATTATTGCAGGTACTTCTAATGTAAAATATTTATTAAAAAATTATAAATAATTATTTGTTTATACGTAAATATTAAATGAGTATTTATTTTGCCCTGTTATTGCTTATAACGTATAAAAAGTATAAAATGAATTTAAAAAAAGTGGAGGGTGGCTGTGTTCAGAACACGACCGTGTGTTTTATGTGTATACATGTACGTTAACGGGTAACATTTACTTTGAGCGTATTATATGTATGTTATAATCACTCTTTAACAGTAAGAAGTCCTTCGGATCTCCTTGTTTTTTTACGTTCTCGGCACCGCTTCACTCTATCATACGGTATTTAATGGGTATAACTAGATTGCTCTCGAAAAGCCCTTTCCAACCGTATACGATTTCTATATTTTGATTTGGCTTTTTGACGAGTATAGGCCGACATTGTATTGAGTTTCGTTAATTTTTAACTTTAACACCATATATATTTACCATAACTATTCAATATTAATGTTTTGTGTACGCAGTCGATAAAAATTGACGATAGCTGTAAATTTAAACTCAAGCGAGCATCGTAGCTTCTCCGAGTCAAAATGTAGGGGAGACCGGGGCAACTTCGGCATGTGGGGCAAGTTTGTCAAGCGCTTTTTTTTAAAAACAAATTAAAAGGAGACTTTGGTTATAGGTTAGGCAGTTGAGTTTTATTGGTGGCTTGTTGAGTGTAGTGTTTTTATTGTTCTCCAACAAGCGTAGTTGAATTATCAAGCAAATTTTCATTTTCGTTCAATTCCATATAATATTTTTTTTCCATTTATATTGAATTGGCAGGTTTTGTTATAATTCCATGATAACGAAAGTTACTTTTCCTGTTAGAAGGATGTAACTTCAACTTATTCACGTGGCCAGATCGTGGCTTGGCATTCTGTTCTCAGGGTTGTACTTAATGTTTCGAAATCATGACTAGCGGGGTAAGATCGGCAACATAAAGCCACATTAGAAGCAAAGGATAAAAATCAAACAGATGATAAATGAAAACATGTTTGCATTTGTTATTCATGTATATATGTCTTTGAACTTGCATTTCGTTGTAATAATATTAAATGGGTGTTGGATTTGTATTTCTTTGTTTTAATAGTGAATTCCAACTTATACATTGTTAATAACATAATTTTATATACGTGCCTATCTTGCCCCATTACTGTTGCCCCTATACCAGGGGCAACTTTAATAAAAATAATTAAAATAATTACAACTTTACAAAAAGAGAGAAGTTGCCGATCTTGCCCCTATACCCGGGGCAACTTCGTCAATTTCTCTCTTCTTGTAAAGTTGTAATTATTTTAATTATTTTTATTTCCAAACTGATTTTAACCAGTTCTATAGTAAGGTAACATTCCAATAGACAATATGCAAAGCTTTTTTTTCAGTTTACAGCAGTATTTATTACACAAAATTTAAGTAAAGCTTAACATGCCGATCTTGCCCCGGTCTCCCCTATACTAAACGGAAAATACGTGACGTCTTAAAATGGCGGCGCTTCCCCCTCCACCGCGCGCAATCGTTTAACTATCGAGTGGTTTACTAAAATTTTGGATGTAGATGACAGATATGTAGCTGCAATGCCAAACTGTACGATCTTTCAGGAAACTGCTGGTGATGAGAAAAAGATTGCGTGGGCAGCGGTATGTTCTAAGTTGATTTAGAATTGTAGGCCACCATAAGTTGTCGAATGCGCCTTGAAAATCTATTGATATTAAAAGCGTGTGTTTCCTATTTTCTTTTGCATGTTCAATATATTCAACGATGTTAGTTAACGCTGTGATGGTCGATTTCCCCGGAGTGAACCCGTGTTGATGATGGCTGAGTGTATCTTTTGCTCTTAGGTAACGAAGAATTCTGTTATTGACTAGTCTATCCAGAGCTTTCCCAATGATTGACAGAAGACTAATTGGCCTGTAGTCCTTTGGTTGTTTAGGTAAAGCGTCAGGCCGCTTATTAATGAATTTCACTGATGCAAGCTTCCACGGTTGAGGGAAGTAACCCAATTGAAGGCATCGGTTAAAAATAGCTATAAAGGTTGTCGGAATAGCATTATATGTTTCTTTTACCATTTTTCCAGATATCTGGTCGATGCCAGGTGCCTTATGAACATTAATTAAATTGATCGCATGGGAAACTTCGCAGAACGTGAATGGGTCGTCATCTGGTTCATCAGGTGGTTCTCTGTAGTTGTTACGTGTTTGGTGGTGGAACTCATTATCGGTACTTTCATCGTCGTTGGGGAAATGATATTTAAATAGCTCTTTTATAGTATCTGGCAAAGTGTTAGTATAGCTTCCATCACTGGTTGTGACAGCCGAGAGTGTGTTATTCTTGCTTTTCTTTTTGAAAGCTACATAGAAAGGATCTGACCAAGGAGTGTTAAATTGGTTGCAGTATTTACGCCATGCTTGATTCCTTTTCCGGTTAATTAAAGTCTTATACGAATTAAATTTTTCAATGTATTGGGCCTTTTGAATAGCCTTCAGGTGAATGTTGTTTTGACGAAAATAAATTTTGCGAAGTTTTCGTACTTCCAGCCTGTGTTTGTTTAGATCGTCATCCCACCAAGGGACATTGGATCTTTTCTTGGTTGTTTTGGTACTTGCTTTTCGATGGCAGTAAAGAATAGTCTCACTGAGCTGTTGCACGGTGTTATCAATTTCGCTTTCGCTCATTTCAACGATGGGAGTATTGGTGTACCAGTTGATACGAATGAGATCCCTGAAGAGCGGCCAGTGGGTGCGGAATCCGGTGGTAACATTTTTGTTGTTTGGAACCTGGAGATTGATGTGGGTTTCTATGTAACGATGGTCACTGGCGCTAGTAATGTCGAGAGTTGAGCAGAAACTTACCGTAGGTGCCATAGAGGAGTTTGCCAGAATGACATCAATCCAACTTTCTCCTCTCGAAGAGAAGAAAGTGGGGAGCGGACTGGAATTACAGGAGGTTAAGTTCAGGGCTGCAATTAATTCTTGTAGGCGATAGCCTCTAGGATCTTCACTCGGACTTTGCCATAAGAAAGNGAAAATACAGATATTTCAATTTACACAGACGGCTCAAAGAACAAGGATGGCGTAGGAGCGGCTTTTCTTCTTATAAACCACAGCAACAATCAGACGCACAGATCTGCCTTTAAACTTGGACCACACTGTACAGTACCACAAGCAGAAATTCTGGCAATTACAAAGGCAATAACCTACGTGAATGAAGAGTGGTTTCATCGACAGCGTGACATCTGTATTTACACTGACAGCCTTACCGCCCTCAACTCCATTTACACCCCTTTTAAGCGTGGTGAGAACATACTTAAAATTCATCGCATCCTTAAAACGAATAGCCATCAGCACACTTATTCCTTCAAATGGGTCCGTAGCCACTCCGGCATCCCTGGGAATGAGGCTGCCGATCAGCTGGCTAAGAAGGCTGCCAGCTCATCGCTAAAGTACAGCTACACTAAGATTCCGAGCTCTATGATCAAGTCTTGGGCCTATGATTTGGCCTTAACGCATTGGCAAAAGGAATGGGACAATTCCACTACTGGAAGAATAACGTATAAGTTTTTCCCGGACATTAGGGAAAGGTTCAGGTGCAAATTTTTCGTCCCTAACTTCCGTTTAACACAACTTCTCACAGGACACGGTAACTACAACGCCTACTTAAAAAGGTTTAACCTGAAGGACAGCGACACTTGCCCATGCAACGGCACAGCGGTTCAAGACATTAACCATTTCTTGTGGGACTGTAAACTTTTTGAACATCAAAGAACTGCACTAATAGGTAAAATCCTCAAGAACAACTACAGTTGGCCTTGCCACCATAAAACACTTATCCAGAAGCGAGAATCTTACATCGCAGTCAACAAGTTTTTAAAAGACACTGCCGCCCTGGATCCGTTCCGTGTAAGGATACCTGAAGACCCTCATGCCACCAAACAAAATTAATACAGGGACAAACTTTCCCTTCATTGTACCCCAGTCTTACTCTCAAAAATTCTCTACTATGCAAACTCTCCAGTGTTCTCCCGGCTTCATCATTAAGTTATCTCTGCAATGTAATCTTCTATGTAATTGATCAATGTATACAGCTCTTTCACTCTTTGCCACTGTATTCACTGCTACTACTGTACTCGGCCATTCTTATCTGTTAAATTCGCAAAGCACTGCCATTGTAAATAATGTTATGTACATAAGTTTGCTATCGTGTTTTATTTTGTAGCCCGAGCTGGGCATTCTGTTTATAGGTTATGCTTATATTTTGCTCTGTACTATTTCTGTTTACGTCTATTAATAAATTCAAATGCGCGTCAGGGACCCTTCCTCTTCTATCTTCCTTCTTTCCCACTTTTCCATCCCCTTTGGCCCCTGCCACCAATACTTTCTCTTACGTCTACTTTCTTCTCACTTCTTTTCACCCACATTACGGAAATACCTCTGAGTAACGCCGTCTATTCTTTACTATAATAATAATAATAATGCCAAACTGTATCCCTCGATTTTGTTATAATCAGTTTTTTGAATTGCATCTTACTACGAAAACAAATTTAAAGACTTATTTATGTGAGATAAACCGCGGGTCAGGGATCAATCTCCCACTGACTACTTACTCGGCAACAGGTTGATAAAACCTGATCTCGGCGTCGTCGGATGGCTAGGAGGGCAGTTCGAGTGGGGAGGGAGGTGAGCAAGTTGATAGGCGTCCTTAAATGACAGAAAACAGGTTTACAACTAAATAAGCATTTATTATATACTCAACTAAGCACTACAAGAGGTTAAAAGCGGTTATCTCTACTATTTACATAAATTCGAGAACGAATTTTCGAGTTTGAGAGAGAGCGCTTACAAATCCTATATACCCCAAAATACCTGTCGGTGGCAGGACGAATTGGCGAACGTTCAGGGTGTGGTGTCTTCCGTGTTTTCTATTCGAGGTCCTCTCTCTATAGCTGGATTGGGTCTGCTGAACGGAGGCTCGGGAGTTTCGGTGACACTATTACTAAGTATAACTTCTTATGACGAATCGCCCTGAGGATACGGAGATTCGAGCTTTTATACTTTTTCGTGCGAGAGCTGACACGTCATCGATTCTTGTTAACGATGACGGTGCATTTTTCACGCCTAACTGTAAACTTCCTCAGCGAGTTGTGATACAATCGGTGTAATCCGATCTAGTACAAAATCTTCGGGTTTTCCGAAGTTAATTAACAAAAAAATTTAAATTTTTAAAAGACCCACAAAAATCCGCGGGCTCACATCTACGTCAAAAATGATATGTATATAAATGTATACAAAATATTTCATAGTGTTTTTAGAAAATACAAATGCTACTGCAAGAAAAGAAAGTTACTAAACTTTCTTCAACAAAAGCAACACTGAACGGGGCACGAACTCAAACAGTTATTAACACTATTACGTCGCACAATAGTAATTACCGTGCGACGTTTAAGTGTTATAAAAACTGTTTGAGTTAGTAGTTTAGAAGATTGACACACAGCACGACTTTTCCTTTAGTGTATATGCCACTTTTATTATCACTGGGTCTGTCTAGTGACAACAGTTAGAACTATCGCTGACTATAGGATTAAATAAACGGTAATATTTCGTCCAGTACTGTATTCTTTTGTAAAATTACTTTGTTCTGCGTTGCCTTCTCGAAACTGAATACTATTTTCATACGACGTGCATTTATTTGTTTTAAAAATATAAATATTAATTTATTTCTGTGCACTGTAGATATAGCAGTAGGAGTTTCTCTACATTCTCAGACTAACGACAATCAAGAATATGTGTCCGCAATGCACAGGTATGGAAAATTCAGTTGAATATTTCATTTGTTTTTCAAGTAATATTTACAAATGTAATATCTATATTAAATAATATGATGTCACATTTTATCTGATGAAATTTTTAAAATGTTTGCGTGAACTTCAGTAGAATAAATATGAAACATTCCAAATTCTCATTGTTGATCGATTAATTGAATTTTAAAAGTTTTTAAATTATAAAGAAGTGTTATTGCTATACGTGCTAATCGTAATAAATAGTTGTTAGAACAATGTATAGAAAGAAGTATGAAAAAAATTACGTTTCTAAACGACTAGAATGTGTTTATTTAGTATGTATTAATAATCTTGAAATTAACTTAATTATCAGTTAAATGTTTGTAAAGTAAACTTCATGTATTTCGTACACATTATGGACAACTTGCAGCATGCAGCACAAAAGTGTTACCGATCAACGTTCCCCAATGCATACAGCTGTAATAATAGATAATTAGTATTCATTAACATTCGTATTTTTATTCTGTTGCTTCAATACTGAAACAGAAGTCTTTATAATAGTGTGAGAATACGAGTACACAGGGTCTGTACCCTAATTGCCATTTACACTTCGAGTTGGTAAAACTCGCCCAATTTGTTTTTTGAAGGCTTTACACAAGTGACGAAGGGATTAAGCTTGTCGGCAGGTGTCCGTGATTCGGAGTGACAGGAGACAGGTTTTTAACAGACAAGAACAAGAGTTTATTACATAACTTAATCTAAATTACAAAAGGTTATAAGAAGCTAAATGAGGTTAAATACTAACGCAGTTCTAGACAAAAAGGATAGCTCTTAGCTACGCCTATTCCCGTTAGCTGTGGAAGAGAGTTCTCAGATCGCTATCGAAAATACCTCTATGCGTGAAGGAACTGAATGCGAAAATCGGTTTGTAGGAAGAATGATTGTCATTGTCCTTGTCCGTTGTCTTCACGACAGAATCAAGGACTCGGAGACTAAATGTGCACTATTTCAAGTACAACTTTTTTTGGATCGCTACGAACTTTCAGTATCTCTTACTTTTATACAATCGTTGTGGGAAAGAGGTCACATGATCGTCCGTTGTTGACGATGACAGTGCAGTGTTGACAACTATGTGTCAACTTTCCCATTGACATCCGATCATACTCTCCGTTTTTTTTCATGGATGTTTACATTTCGAAAAAACCGAATGGCATTAATTTTAAGATTCCCCTTAAAAATTTGCGTGCTCACAACAGCGTAAACTTAACGTTCAAATATCCAATTAACATATGAAAATATACAGTGTAGCAACTTATTTCTTATATCTCTAAAAAATAAATTAATTATGACTTCAAATAATTATAAAGTTTGCTTAAATTTTATAACCACGAAAATAGGGAAAAAATGATTACACAAATTAATCACTTAAAGTATATTTTATATTTTTTAAATTATTTTAATTTAAGAAAAATTGTATAATGTTTTTCACACGAAATATAATTTTAAATTTCATGTAGATTTAACAGTTGACAGTACTTTATTTCTACTTCTTGTTCAAGTTTTAAATTTGCATTAATTATCTTTTGATATATTAATAAATTTATATAAAAATTTAGAATTCTGAAATATTTTCCTGAATGGATGGTAAATCCAATGTACTGGTTTTCTCCAGTTTTCTTCATGAATAAAATAGGAAGAAATTACAAGAGAGATATTGAAATAATTCATCGTTTCGACGAAAAGGTAAACTCAACTTGTGGATGGAAGTTTGTGTTGTGATTTAAGTAATTAATGAATTAATTTTATTCGTAGCTGTTTAAGAGAAAAAAAGAAAACTTTGTAAAAAAAAATGCAGCAGCAACATTCCTTAGACAATGGAACACGTATAGAAGAGGAACCAAAGATGAAAACAAAACAACGTCTTATCGATTCACTGTTGAATCTTCACGTAAAACAAGGTTTAATGTCTGAAGAAGACGTTATAAGAGATATGGAAGGTTTTATTTTCGCGGTAAACACAATTTACTGAAGGTCTAAACGAAAATAAGTATATAATCGTGCACGCGTGTATTTCAATGTGCTTATTTACATTATTTTGAAGTAAACTAATGTTTTCCAAAATAATGTAATTGATTATTATAGTAGATAATTTTTGTAATTTCGGATTAATTTTTAATTTCTTAACATTTAAAAATTTGTAGTGCTGAAATTTGAATTCTGTCCTTTCATATTTTCATTATTTGAATTATCATTGAAAAAAGTTCAGATATAAAACAAATGATCTGTTAATTATTATATATTTTTTCTATTTGTACAGATACAGGAAAAGTATAATTTTGACAATTTTGGTACTTTGAAACCGTGCTAGTAGTTATTAGTAGTAATTCGAACACAAATTATTATTGTATTTATTTTCAGGCACTTGGAAATTTTTATCATCAAATTTTATTTAGTTGATACGTGTTGATATTATTTACACACGTTTCGGGCATTTATTGCCCCTCTTCAGACAACTGTATTGCCCCTCTTCAGCCAAGTGCCTGAAAATAAATACAATAATAATTTGTGTGTGAATTACTAATAATTTTGACAAATTAAAAGTGTGTATCTATCGGTAAATTTTTAACATTTCGAAGATTATTATATATATTTAAGACGAAAAAGTCGGGTAAAAAAGGATAGTCTTATCTTACTTTTTCGACTTTATATCTGGTTTATTTTGAATGCGTGTTTTGATATTTTTTAAAACAGTAGTTTGTAAATTTATGACTTAGTTCTGTGGTAATAATTATCCGTTATCAAATTATTTTTTTAAATATTAGTTAATCAACCACATGCAGTAAATTGTCGTAAATCAAGACAATTTAAGCTGGCCGACGAGTATTTTGCTTTCTCGATCGACTAATTACACAGTTCATCTCTTATTTCGTCCATCGACCGAAGACATTTTGTTTATAGAATTATTCAAATTATATCGAATGTCGAGGAAGAATTTTTAGTTTCATTGAGGAACGGAATCTTCCTTTGCAATGGCGTACATGTGTAGCATTGTGCTCTCTTACCCATGTTAAAATTATAAACAGAATTGTCATAATGAACTATTTAAAAATTTTATTTACCGTTTTTCTTTGATACGATTTTGTAATCTCTCTCCATTTACATCAAATTTCTTCCATGTTTCTATAAACAGTACACTACTAACTGAAGTGTTAGTAGTGTACTGTACTTCTTAGCAAATTAGGCCTAATCTCCAATAATTACGTTTTCCGCAAGAAGTAACAGTTGGATTAATCCTCTTATCTATTAATATTATTTTTTATATTTGATTTCATGTATCAACGCCTGTTTTTCAGAAAAAGGAAAATAACGCCTTTTTTTCCTTTTTCCATTTTTTCTTTGAAACTTACGCCAGATATAATTGGCGCCATGTGAAAGTTACTCGACTGTTTTCTTATTGGACAAAATAGTATTCTCTGGAAATATCATTGATATTTTGTCATAAATAGTATGAAAAACTACGTGAATTGCAGATGCGAAATGTCGTAAATTTGTGGTATTTAACTATGTCTCGAGAATACGACGTTGAAAATAACAGTTTCTTAAATCCTGGCTTAGTATTGTATTTTGACATCGATGATAATCTACACCCGTTTTTGTATAAATAACCTTATGAAGCTAAAATATAGAATTTCTAAGTCGAGGTTGTTGTATGTCATTGTATACTTTTCCACCCAGTTTGGATGCTTCAACATTGTGTAAAATTTAGCCAGTACATGCGCGGCAATAAATTGCTACAAGTAATGTAGTTGTAGATTGTAAAGTGATATCACACGAATAGGAAAGAAGTGCAGTATTTATCCATGTCATGTTATAATTTTACAAATTTATTATATTATATTTATTTTACTAAAAATATACATTGTAAAGAATGCAATTTTTTACGTGGTGTGTTCAAAAAGTATCGGACCTTTGGTCCGCAAAAATAAATTTATTGACTTTGAGGTACAAAACCCTAATCCCCTTCAAAGTAGTCTTCTTGGTAATGTATACACTTCTCCCAGCGTTCCTGCCATTGCTGGAAACACTGCTGAAACGCATCTTTTAGGATGGCCAACAGCCGGTTTGTTGGATTCCGCACGATGTCTTCTCTCGACTAAATTCGGGTTCCTCTTAGCGGCATTTTCAACTTGGGAAATAGCCAAAGGTCACACGGAGCCATGTGGGGAAAGTACGGAGAGTAGGAGTATTGTGTTTGGCGACGAAAGTTCGAATCAGATGCGCAGAATGGGCGTATGCGTTATCACGATGGAGCTGCCAAGTTTTGATCGACCACAGATCCGGTCGTTTGCGTCGCACTGTATCAAAAAGACGACGAACGACTTTCTGGTAGTACTCCTTTGCGATGGTTTGGCCTTGTGGTGCTACTCATGACACACCACCCCACAAGAGTCGAAAAAACTGTCAACATGACCTTTGATATTGCTGCGGACCTGCCGCGCTTTTTTTGGCCTCGAGGATCGTCCCCGAAAGCCTGCTGAATTTTGCGAATGGTTTACGCTCGGGAATCGCCAAGGTTTTTAGCAAAATTTAATGTAATATCGCTGCTCACGTTGTTCAGTCATTTTCCAGCTTAGTGGAATCCGACGAGAGCGCACTACATGATCTCACTCATAGGCCGATTGCCAACGACTGACGCTTCCTGCAGGCGGGAAAAAATTCAGGGCTGTGCATCAGTGTCCCCTCCACAACTCCTCCGAAGGAGGCCTCTCCCGCATCATTGGTTTACGCGGAAAAGAAAGGGCCGTTACTTTTTGAACAGACCTCGTATACCATTTCAAAGCATTTTAATAACAGGGTTATGATACAACTGCCCACGCCTTGTCATGGACTCTTTATTTCCTGGGAAGATTCCAAGAAATACAAGAGAAAGTGTATCTAGAATTGCAAGAAATTTTCGAAAATGATATGAATAGAGATATTACTATCGATGATCTGACGAAAATGACGTACTTGGAATGCGTGATTAAGGTAAATTCTCATTTTTTAAAATACATTCAAAGATTAGTTCTATACATTACAATTTTCAGGAGTCGATGAGAATCTATCCTCCTTTTCCTGGTATTGCAAGAAAAAATTCTTCCGAAATGAAAATAGGTAAATTTTTAACATCATGCGAGTTGTTTTTAAATAATAATATTTTATATTTGTTATCGACTTAAAGCATTAAATTGATGTCATTCAAACAGGTAATTACGTGTTGCCTGCAAATTCGACTCTTTGTCATAAATATCTATGGTATTCATCATAATCCTTCTGTTTACGAAAATCCCGAAGTTTTCGATCCAGACCGTTTCCTATCTGAAAACTATAAAAATCTTCATCCTTACGCATTTCTGGCATTTTCTGCCGGTCCACGAAATTGTCTCGGTAAGTGATTAGTAAATAAATACAAAAACAAAAGAATTATGTCATTACAATAATTTATTTACAGGAGGTAAACTTGCCATGATTGAAATGAAAATGGTTTTGGCAAATGTTCTTCGAAATTTTAAAGTCTACTCTTTGGATCCTCAGGACAAAATCGTTATTTCATACGCAGTTATGTTGACCCCCATACCGGGTATAAGAATGCGTGTAGAAAAAAGACGAATGTTGTAAGATATTAACTAAGATGCATAGTACGTTTGGGTAATTTTTGTTTCAAATATATATCAATATAAACATAGGCCTATATTATATAATCTGGACGAATGCATTTAGAAACTGTATCGGAACAACTATACTTTTATTCAATATTACTCATTAATTATTTAGTTAATAATATATTGGATACAAAAAATTTGTAATTTATTTTAGTATTTTTCTGATATGATATAAAATGAAAATTATATGAATCTAAGTTTAATAAAGTCATTTATCACATTAATCATTTCTCATATTTAATTTTACGTAAAATAAACTGTTGTTAACAATATACTAGCTGTATTATATGAATTGGGCCAAACATTAATTATTTAGTTAATAATATATTGGATACAAAAAATTTGTAATTTATTTTAGTATTTTTCTGATATGATATAAAATGAAAATTATATGAATGTAAGTTGAATATTTAAGATATTTGAATAATTAATATGTTGTTCTTATTAACACAAACACTATGTTTATATAGCAGATAGTTAGATAAACCCTAGTTGTATTTTATATAAAATGTTTACAATCGCGAAAAAAAGAGAACAAAACACTAGACACGATATTGTATATTATAAAAGTAAAAATTGTAATTCATTTACAGTTTCGATGTTTTGTACTTGATAACTAGAAGCAACAGTGAAAAGAAAAATGAGAACACCAATGTAATGGAGTAAAATTCAAAGAAGTGGACTTGTGTCTTGTTTGCATTCAGTTTATACGAATTTATGAAGTGAAACGTCTTGATTGCCATAAAATGTTATTTTTCCAAAAATGTAAGGGATGTTATCATTATCATTACCTTAGCATAAGTTAGGCAGTTGTGTCTAATATGGAGTCCTTCCGCCTTATCAAAAATTTGCTATTATTTCTTCGATTAAATAACGTTAATTTGGTATATTTCATAGAATAGTACGTTTTAACGGAAATCAACCTTCTACGTAAAGTTCTCTGAACATCTAATATTATTTGATTGCGTAAAGAGACCTGAGGCAGTATTCTGGTCACTGTCTCTGGTCTCTTTTCTGTCGCAAGCCGGTCGATGATTGGCTAATCATTTGGATTAGGCAATCAGCAACTGGCTTGCGAGAGACAAGAGACTAGAGACAATGACTAGAATATGGTTTCTGGGGCCGTATTCTGGTTATTGTCTCTTCTCTGTGGTTTCTCGCAAGCCAGTTCCTGATTGGCTAATCATATGTTTATGTCTCGAGAAATGATCGTGTCTCTCTAAACGCGATTCCGGACAACAATTTCTCTTTTTGTTTCTGTTGTTTGTCAGAGACGAGCGGATAATTGTCTTTCGACCTGACTATCGTCTTTTGCCTCGATATTGTCATATTTAATATGGACGACTGGATGCTA